TGCGGACGATAGTGGATTTTATTCGCTCATTTTACTTAATGCGAATGATCTAATTTTATACAAGCTGTTTAATTTTAGATCTTAAAGTCACAAGTGCTACGTACTTAAATATAAAGTATAAATAAGAAATAGGTTCAACCCCTTTCACCTCTACTGCAATGGGCTTTTTCTGGATATTCATCATTCGTCGAAGTTCAATAGTGACAAAAATAATATTAACTAAAATGTTTAAACATAACTATATGGATCTGCATACACAGTGAACATAATTACGGTTTAAAAGTAAAAAACAAGCTTTTAATTATAACATGACACTATATTATAAACACGTATACGAAATGAAAAAATTTGTTTATTATTAGAAATCGAAGTATATATTAAAAATGCTTCAATTCAAGAATAAATATTAATCAAATGCTTTACATAATGAATAAACATTTGCACATCGTTTTTATTTAATAATTGGGTAAAGTTATTTTTATACATCTTGTAATAAATCATGGTTTTTACGTCAATCCCTGTTTCTTACGTGAGTGATTATAAGTAGTAAAAAACTCATTCACGCAAATCGATCAAAAATTATTGTTTAAATCTGAAAATCTGAAATACTTTTTAATTCTTGATATAGAAAAAAAAAAATGATGGATGCTTATGGTTTATATCTCGTTTGTCATTATTATAATTTCACAAACTTAAATAATATATACAGTGATTCACCAATAATTTTCATCCCATTTTTATTTAATAATGCTTTTATTGAAATTCTGATTTTTGTGACTTTTATATGTACTTCGTATGATGCCTTTATTTTCAAATATTTAAATTTTAACATAAACTTGGTTCATACTCAGTGTACGGATTGAGTTGTGATCCACTTATATAGTAACATCGTAAAAATGGTTACTATGTAGAACGGAAATCCGATGCAAGCGTATGACAGAATAGTGTTGATATTATGTTTAGTTGCCACTTTACACCCTCGCGCTCACAACTTTAATTAATACTCCTACACGACACACAGTACGGCACATTAAACGCGAGTCACACCACAAATTGATACCGCCGTCCATCACCCTTTACATAGTTATGTCTCTGACGACTAAAACATTACTGCAGTTATTGTAATCGGTTTGGGGTATGTTATAGTCAAGCCGTACGAAGTACACAATCGGCGAGTTGCACACTTCACGGAGTATATAGCGATGTAATGACACGTAATATTAGACGTAATTATCACAAATTGATTCGAATTAAATCAAATGTTATTCTCTATAAAACGATTAATTCGTACGTATAATATTATCACGATATGATTTGACACGGAAACATGCAAATATTGCAAATACGATCTGTTACGCGTCATAAAATTACAATATGTCACGAGTGTATGCCACGAGAGTATACGTAATATATTTAGAATGAGACAGGTGCAAACATATTCGTTTAAATGTTAAATCAAATATCTGTACTACAGTTTATTGCGTGTTTATAAATAAAAACAAAATAATATTTACCTTCGAGATTACATTTTTATAACAAAAACCACTGATGTAATTATGTTTATTGTTTAAAACTATATTTGTCTACCTACTCTTTATGGTGTATAGAGCGATTCACCGTCACCAAGCATGTTTACCCTCTTTATTTTCTTCAATAACGACGCAGCTGTTGTTCAAAATTTGATTTTTTTTTAATAAATTATTTATAGATATTTTTAAATTATTGAGATTGTTCTACTTAAAGAGTGTAGGCACAGTTGAGATACAAACTTTTGTTTTAAAATGAAAATATGCTTCTTTTGAACAGTGAATTTTTTTTGCAGATTTTTTTTTTTTAAATGTTGACCAATTCGAAATCAAAATTTAAACGAGTAGTTTTTAAATTATTTATAAGTTTATGCACTAAGGATTATAGTTCATAATAATATGTTCGGAAGATATCAAAGCTATTAAAATTTGAACATTTTAATAATTTATAATAATCTGTCAATATTTATAATTCATAAAAATGTTCCAAGTATAATAAATATTAAATTAGATATTAAATCCATTTTATATTTTTATATCATTTTTAAAGTATTTTATTCTCAGTAAACATATATCCTATATAAACATTTTAATAACTCTAGAACTTGTTTGAATTTTAAATTAGGTACATCATAAATTTATTTTTAAATTATAAAATATAAATTTATTAATATAAAAAAGAGGGCTTTTATCTGGAAAACATAAATTTTTAATCGTCACAGGATACTCCTTAAGTAATACGATCTTTAAATAAAATTAAAAATACTAAAATCAGAATTTAATTAAATATAAGGATGAAGATGCGCATGCCTGGTGAATCGCTCATTATGATGTAAGTGTCGAATAAAACTTTAAAAATGTGTTTAATTTCATACCAAAAAATAAAAACTACGCAAAATGTACCTTAATATATTTGTTCGTACTTCCGACCACCATAGTTTCTGTACATGGCATTTTATTGCAACAATTACAATTAATTTCCACCAATAATTTCTACTATTATATTAGGTAATATCTTAATATAATCGCAATGAACAGTACCTATTAGTACTATATCAGTACGTTTATTAGTTATAATATTTCTAATAATGCTACGAGTTGATATTTATACTTTACTCCCTTCAGCAATACACCTGTTCATGTCGTTCATTGTGATTTCGTACACGGTATAAACACCGACGGTCTAACATCTGCACCAATGATATTAAATAGGTAAGCCTTGTTGGAACGTGACTAGGTAAAAATCTCAACAGGAAAAATGAGTTTGGCAATACATTTTAAACGACTTTATCAATGCAAATTATAGGTCCCTACATTTTTATTTACTCATACTTATATAAAAAAATTGTTTAAATAATTTTAAATTTAAATTTAAATACTTGAATAAAAGAGGTAGGTACGGCTAATTATTCAAATATACTTTCCATTGCGAGTTTAAACACAAAATCAAATACTCTCAAGTATACGACTCAAGTGAGGTTTAAATATATTAATTAAGTTTATTTAATTATATTTGTACAATAATACTTATTTTATAATTATTAAATTTATTTATAATATTAGCGAACGTATTTAAAACTCTACGGTTTTGTCCTTACGATGAAAGTCAATATACGGTTTTGGCGGTTTTGCCCAAATTATGTTGGTCATCACTAGGTTTGCCCGGTCAAAAGCCGAAATATGACATTTTGCCCAAGGATTGTGGGTAATTCGCGTTTTGCCCGGGCGCATTTCTGAGGTTTGCCCGATTTCGGCTTTTGCCCGTAACATATATATCTAGTAAAATAGTGAGATATCAAAATATTTTTTATCTGAAACATAAAATTACTTTAAAATGGATAAGATTATTATGGGTTTAATATTTTACATACATTTAAATATTTATCAAGTATGCAACCATATTCACTTCCCTCCCTGAATCAGTATGCATAATATTACGAGTATTTGTGGTTCCAACGTATCGATTTTGACGGAACCACACTACGCCAGCAGCTATATAAAATAATATCTATACTGTATATTATGACACAAAATCTTCACTGCTTTACTCTCCATAATTTCCATTGCCGTGATCAATATTACCGACGTCGGTGGTTATTATGGAGAGTACACAACTGAAGTGATTTAATATACAGAATTCACCTTAATAAAATAACATTTTACACGCAACAGCTGTTAGCAAAACAGATATGATGTGAAGGTGTATAAACTAGAAACACAGTAAAACTCAAGTTAACGCTATTTATAAAAATATGTCGAACGCTGCAGGTAATATAGGTATGCAGAATAATATTTTAAAATTTATTTACGAGTATACATGTAGAATATCGAATATAATGGTTATTTTTTTAAAATAATTTATACATTTTAAATGCGCTGAAGACTGCATCAAAATATTCAGACGTATCTTTTACCCGCATAGATTTATACTTAAGTTAAATAACCATGTTTGTATTATGGTTTTCGCTTATTATGTTGTCTGATATTAGCCACTAATTGTCATGTACAAAGAAGGAAGTGTTTACATTTTGTGTATACTTATATTTATACATAATAATATATATGTTACGTTGCAGTTTTTTCGTGAAATCTATCTTTTCATGAAAAATTGTTTATTTTATAAAATTAAAACGTCGTTTTCCCACTTAATGAAATATTTTCATATTTTAAGAAACAGTCATTTATTTGTGATTTATGATTTCATAAATGGTCACTTCAGTTTAACATCGTGTAATTTTTTTCACAAATACGTCGTTCACTTCATGAAATAAAACAATTATCGTACAAAATTAATCTTATTATTTATTTATGTTATTTATTAACATGCAATTTTGTGTAGATTTTAAATTTTGGTCTAAATATTTCAGAGTTAAAGTTAAACATTTTTCACTAAGATTCATTCACATATTTACTTTTATCTTTTTATTTTTGAATAAATCATGAATTTTAATATTTTTGTTGTTTTAATGTTTCATTTTTATTAATCATTTCACTTGTACACTTAATAGTGGAAAAAGAGATATATGAATATATTATTAAAAATATATTATCTAGTCGAGTTCCATAAAAAAAAAATGTATACATATGTAACATATTAAGGCAGATAATATGAAAATATAAATATACTCGTAGTTGCGGTATTGCCTGTTTAATAAAATAAAATTTAAAAAATATTTACCTGATATAAGTTAGGTAATACGTTGATACGAATTAAAGGAGAAGAAGCTTAAACTCAATTATTAAATTAATGTATGCGATAAGAAATTCAATATTTTAGATATTAAGAACACGTTGATAAATACATTTATAAGTATATATATTTATTTTTTATTAACATGGTTACAAAAAGTATTAATGTTAAAGTAAAATATTTATTATTTTTATTTGCATTATTACTACGAGTTGTGTTAAAATATTTTAATATTTCTATATAAGTTCAAATGTGCAAAAAAATAAAACTTTTGTTGGTCAAATATGAATCCTGATATTAAGGATCAGAATGATGAAAATGACGATTTTAAGGCTATTGAGACTCTATTAAAAACATGTAAGAACACAATTTAAAATTAAGTGTTATTAAGCTAAATATTACCTATATAATATGATTGTATGTTCGTTTACTAAACCGGTAGATAGATCACATAACTACATCGAAAAAAAAAAGGCCATAAAGAGCAATGCATTCCAACATCCCTATAATATTAAGAAGAGTTTAGGTGACACACTTGGAGATATAGTTATCAATTTGATACCTAAAGAAGATTTGATACAAATGAAGGAAATCGAAAAAGTACCACTACATTTCGAGGTTACGGCGAAAAATGTACTATCAAACAACATAAAACTGACGCCAGCCGTTACAGACGATGATACTACGGAATTAAACTTTAATACAATAATGCGTAAATATTGTGTACTCAATATGGTGGTAATAAATATCAACAGTATATACATACATATATTTATAGGCGTCGGTGATCGTCTCAAGAGACAAGCTGAAATTAAACTAAATGATGAACATGACAAAGCACTACAAAGACAAGTTGAACGTTTAATAGCAGACAAAAATAAGACTTTGAACGAGAAAATTAGACCCATGGAAAGATCAATATACGAAAAAAACTTATCTGTGATTATGGAAGAATTCGACAATAGCAAAATCGCTGTAACTCAATCTATTTCTATTGTTTAATTTTTTAGACATTCAACTGTAAATTTTCCGAATTTTTCTAGAAAGCCAAACAATGTATAAAAATGAAAATAATGAACAAATGTAAGAAAGAAATAGAAAATAATTCGAATACGATTGCGCGTAGTTTGAAAAACATTTTGAAAATGTCCGCAGAAAAACAAGAGAAAGAGATGAGAAATGAATTTTATTACCAAATGCAACTGGCTCGGAGTGAATTGTACGAAGAATTTTTGGACGAGAAACGTGAATGTGAACTTTATTGGGAAAAAGAACTGAAAACGATTAAAGAAAAAAACGATAGAGCACTCAAACATTTGAAGGTATCATTGGAGGCGGAGCACATACAAAACTTAACTGAACTAGAACATTGGTATGAAATGCAAAAGCAAAAGAAAATGTTAGAACAATTAAACACAAATGGAACTAAAAAACTTAAAAAAAAAAATATGGAAATTCTCCTATATTGATTACCTAGAATAAATACAACACAATTTCAACAGAAGAATTTAATTTATGAGTATTACATACTTTTGTATATTAATTACAATTAAATATCAATTACACAGACTTTGACCGTTATTAATTTATTGGTCACACACAAATATTTACCCACACATATATTTTCATAAATTTTGATTATACTAAAATGTTGTGTATTCTTTTTAACCAATTTTTAATATTATTGAATAAAATATAAATATATATATATATATAAGTGTACAATATATACTTTTAACATTTATATTAAAAAATGTTCATGGTAACTAATTATTTATTAATGATTAATGAACTGCTATTTAACTAAGTTGTGTTTTATATTTTTAATTTCTCGTTAACCATCATCTTATTGAAATCTCGTTTTTTACAGTAAAAATTATTAAGTAGTTTGTTAACAATTTATTAAAAATCACAACTTTTTAATAGTATGTTCAAAATGTACCTATGAATTATGATACTGTGTATAAGCCATAAGGTAAATATTTTTATATGATCAGTAAATAAGCAAAACAGTATGTTTCATTATATTATGTTTTATGATATTAATATTAAAATAATTTACTTCACTAATCTTCACTTCGTAGGACGAATGGTTGATTAAATTTGTAATGAAAGTGTTGTATTTATTAAATTATTATAATAGGTATATTATATTATAAAAGTTTATATGATATACCTTATACAATTATTGTTATTAACTTTTAAGTCCACACAACTTTACCAGAAAACAGTACAAATGTGCTTCACCTTAAACATCTTTTAAGTATTTCATTTCATACGTTTTTTACTATTTATAACGTAAAAGTTGTTAAGTCCCCCTAAATAATGTTTTTAAATTATAACAAAGTAACCAACATCATATTAATCGTTTAAATATAAAATGTTTTCTAAATTTGATCTTCAAATATTTATAAAAAAAATTGTCAATATATTTTATTAGATTTTTTGTATTTTGTACGAACTATTTATGAGTAATCTTTTGTTAAATTTTAAAATCTTGAATATAAAAATTGAAGATTTATATAACTGTTAAATACAAAATAATTTGCAAAGTTCCGTGATTTTAACGGACTGCAAATGCTTATAAAGTTATGTATATTATATATTAAAATATTTTTAATATTTTTGAATATTTATAATAAAAACTTTTTATATTATAATTTATGTATTACATTTTCAAACATTTTGGCTTAGTGAAAAAATCTAATTGTAATAATGCATAGTGATTCAGCTAACTAATGCAACTTTTATTTGTGTAAAAATCAAAAACTAGTATAATATATATATATATACATTATAGTGTTATTCGTTTATATAAAAATTTAAAAAAACTATTCAATTTTCGTGAACTAAAAAAAAATAATTAATAAGCTACACTAAAGCGATCATTAAGTGTTAACAAATCTTCAGTCTTAAGGAATCTATTGATATAATTTTTATTGAAATCGACCAAATAGTTTTTGAGATTGCTAGTTAGTAAAAATGAATTTACTTATATTATACACTACAAAATTAAAAATAAATATATATTGTGCTAAGTTAAATATATCTATTTTATTTTACTATTGCATTATAATTTATATAACAACAATGGATTATAATAATATATTTAACGAATTTATTAGATAGTTTTATTATATTACAAACTAAGTAGATACTCGTATACCATTTAAAGCAATTTAAATTGGTTCTAAATATGTCTTGATTGATAATATACATTTTACTACCTGGGTATAATACTATTTATTTTAAAGTACCTTATAATAGCTTATTTATTGTTAATTTCTATACACTTCAACATCCTGTCTAGTGTGACTGACTGTTCCCTTTATATTGTTACAAATTTACTCATTTAACTAAAGACTACCTACACCTTTAATTTAACTTACATTACTTATATTTTATCTATAACAACTTAAGTATTTTATTTTTGATTTATAACATAAATTTTCAATTTCATATTCTAAAGAAATGTTTTGGAGTACCTATTTTATACACAAATAGAAAATTCGGACGAATAATTTATAAGTTATAAGTATTTAAAGTTTATATGAACGGAGTGGAGGTACGGGGATATCTCGCAAAATATTGGTCTACTTCTTCGCTTACCAAACTTTAAATACTTATAACTAAAGGTCGGATTTATAATCTCTTGAATTCTTTTAAATAAATATGATGTTTTATGTTATTAAAATATATTATTCTCTTTATATTTTTAAATATCAGATAAATGATATTTTATATTTTATCTCTTTAAAATTCTAAATATTCTTTAATATTCTATAAAAATTTATAAAATTATTATGCAGTATAACTCTTTCTGTCATTTTTATTTAAAAATGTTCTACTATTTTGAATTATAATTAATTTTTAAAGTTTTAAGTTGGTTCAGAACGTTGGATAACATGATCCTGAGTATAATATATCTCTCAAGAGCAACATGAGAAGGACTAAACTAAAAATATAAACAAGATATGTTCTTATACTATTAGTTTTTACATAACATAGATACAAGTAAACATTTAAGCTGTTTTTACTTGAACGAAAGTAACACGTAACTGAAACTACATACCGAT